TATAAGTTAAAAGACCAGAGATTTAGGTTATTAAGAAATTATTTACTGTGAGGGTSGTGAGACACTGGCACAGGTTGCCCAGAGAAGTTGTGGATGGCCCATCCTTGGAAGTGTCCTAGGCAAGGCTGGATGGGCCTTGGAGMAACMTGGCTRRTGGAAGGTGTCCCTTGGACACCCAGCAGGGTTGGAGCTGGATGATCTGGAAGGTCCTTTCCAACCCAACCATTCTGATTCTTTGACTGATTCTGATTGATTCTGATTGATTCTATGAAATCACTCTTTCCACTATTTTCCACCATACAAACCCACTCTGGTATCTGCACAGGCTGAACACAGGAAGCGTCCGCAAATTGGACACGCTTTGAAGCCCAGCTCAAGCATGGCCAGCCCATTCCCACACCTAGCCCCAGACTGGGGGTTTGAGCTGGGGGAGAAATGTGCAGCTCCCTTGGGTGGTGGCAGCTCTTTGGGGCAGCCCCAGGGCAGCAAGGAGAGGAACACAAAAATTCACATGGGGAGAAATGGCCATGAGGGGTTCCTTGGTGCAACACTTGATTTGGGGCAACCCTGGAGGAACAGMATGGTGCTGCAGGGTGTGGCATTTGGGGCACAGGTTAGGATGCTTTCCTTACTGATCTGGTGCCTGGGGGGACAAAGAGGCAGCTGGAAATTGCTGTGTAACTCTGGAGTTCCTGATTATGTGGAAACAGTAACTTTTGTGGAAAATATYCTGTCTTAGTAGGAGTGTTAATATCATGTGGACAGACAAACTCCCACGTGGATGTATTTATATTCTGCCAGCCAAAGGTTACCTTAGAAACTACAAACTRAGGAGTGGAGCAACATGGTGAGTTTCCTGTAGGAGAAAATTTAACTGAAAACACAGAGGTTTACCTCTGCATACAAGTACCTGACCATGAAGAACTTTTCACTGTGTGAACCATATTTTATTTCATATTGCCTGAAGACAATAAATGTAATGAGATCGACTCCCTCAAATTCTATAGGAAAGACAAGGGAAAACAGATTTTTAAGGGTGGCAAGGGACTCCTTTGACTTTTCATTCATTGGGTTTAATTGCGATTCTGACTGTGAGCCATCAAAGGAACCCTTGCCATGAACTGAAGCCACACAACTCCCCCGTGGGTGCTTTCTTTCGTCATTTGATGGTATAAACAAAGTCCTTTGTCCATGTCCCATGGTTGGTCCATCTGTTTGTAATGTTGCTGTTGTTGCTGCTGCATGTCTCATTAGTCTCAAGTGGTTTCCAGATTGTAATTTTATGCTTTCCTGTCAAAATTATTTCAGACCTGGAAGCTGCTTTGCATTGCACCTCTTGTGAGTGGACATGAAGCAAAACAAAAAATGATTTCCAAGAAAGCTGTTCCTTGGAGGTTTTTTTTTTGTTTTGCTGAGGATGACAGAGGAGCAAATGCTTTGCATCCCCTCTGCACCTGAAGTGACAGATCCTCAGACCTGTGTGCCTTTACTTCCCACTCATTTTCAACAAGTCTGATAGAGCTGGGCTATATCCATTTGTGGTGTTTAATATCTCACTGATGTAGCATGTCGGGAGCCTGGGTTGAAAAGCAGAAGTGTGAAGCAGTTTCTGAGAACCTGACCCTCTGAACCTGACCCCCTGAAGGTCACACTGGACGGCAGCTCTTACTGTGACCAATTTATCACTGCCTCTACCTGAACAGGAGCTCCCTGAGCTGACCTCTGACAACTCCTTGAGCTGCTACCACCGAGCAACCAGGATGAGTGCATTTCAAAAAGGAACCTGCATCACTACCAGACCATCTGCCCTACTCAGCCCCTTCAACAATGAAAGGGAAGAGCACACAGGGAAATTGAGCAGTTGATGAGGTCCATGAGAAGTAGCCAAGGTGATGTCTCCCCATGCAAAACCACAGTCATGCAGATTGTGACATGCTGAAGGGACACCTGACCAAAGGGATCCATCTCCTGGTTGGGTTCTTCTCATGGACATCTAAACCATCCCTGACTGCAGTGCAGACCCTCCAAACAGGGATGGATCCTCAGCACCTCAGCCAGGTCTGTCAGTCCAGAGGACAGACAAGCTGAACCTTTTCTCAAGTCACTGATTTCTGAGTCTGCCTTAGTGCTCCTTATACACCTCCTAAATAAAGCACAGATCCATCAGGAGACCACAGGCATATTAAATTCCATTTCTTTTCTCCAGAGAGACCTAGAGCTGCCATGTGAGCAGTGTGGTGCCATGACCACAAGCAGCCTGAAACATGCCAATGTCACCCAAGGGATCACAGAATCATAAAGGCTGGAAAAGACCTCTAAAATCACTGAGTCCAACAGGATGGGTGTGAGGAAGTGGAATAAGCTTCATTACACTGTTATGTGACAAAGGAGGTTCTAGGAGCTAATGAAAATACTGTGGAAAGAAAAGAAGTGTGCACAGAAACACCTTTGATTTGATTACAATAAAAAATTTATTTTGATTCACGTCATACTGAAAAATTAAATAAATAAAATGTCAACAAATGATTGCATGAGACTCCCCACCATTACAGAAAAAAAAAATCATAACCAATTGGGTAGTCAGAGAAAAATACAAAGAAAATCTGGTCATGGGAGGAAAAAAGTGCTCAAGAGATTTGGCTTTGGTAAAAAACATAACACACACTCAAGGAGTGCTTCAGAGATTTTGCAGTGGTGGCAAATGCAGTCCAGGAGTTTGAAGTGTTGACATGTTGTTAAATGCTTTCCTTGGTTCTTTTAAACCAAATAAACCTAAAAAGTTTCTAGCAAAAAACGACTCTTCAGCAATGGCAGTGGGAATTAATTCTTCCCTCAGCATCATCTGTTGGTATCTCCTGATTCTGAAGGCAATTGAAAGAGCAGCAAAATTGTGGAGGAACTGAGACAAGGACCTACCACAACAGACAGCTGCCTAAAGGACTCTAGAAATAAAGTTCCTCTGGAATACAAATGCGAGGGCACAGACTATTCCTGATCCTACACCTGGAGAGATCCACTTTCTGCTCTCCTCACACTCTGAAAATGGACATCAGTGGTACACAGTTAGTGCTTGCTGTTGTCAAGAAATTTTAATGGGAATTGCAGCTTGTTCCATGATGGAGACACTAAATCAATCTGCATATATGAGCCATGAGGTTTTATATGTGCTGTCAGAGGCAGAAGGTTCAGGGGAAAATGGAAATGTTATTAGAACGGCAAAAGGAAACCTTCAGAAGGACACAGACTAGCATACAGGTGGCCTCTTTTTCCACTGTTTTTGATTTCAAATTGATCCTTGTGATTAAAAAAATAATCAAGGGGATAAACCACCATGAGTTTTCTTCCAAGTCTTTCTAAAGATGACTGAAAGAGCAGTCAATCTTTCTGAATTACTGGTATCTGTCCATGAGAAAACAAAAAAAAAAAAAATATTTTAAGCTCCAAAATCCAGTCACACTGTGAAGTTATCACTGGCATCTTCCAGAAGTGTTTTGCCTCTTGAACTTGCTTTGTTTGTATTACTGCAGAATCTCACCAGAAGCTTATTAACAGCAATTTAAACAAGCAGGAATGCTTCAAGCAAACAAACATGGTTCAGGTAGAAACACTTCATTCTTTTACAAAAAGAGAGTGAGCCCATCAAACTTGCTGTGCTGTGACATGCAGGTGAGTCCTGCTGGTCACCGTGCTGGGAAGTGCTTCTTGGCATGAGGATCATGAACAGCTCTCATTGTGAGGATTTGAAAATCCTGCCCTTTTCATATCACTGAATTGAAGGGTCACACGAGCTGAGGGAGCCCAGTTCCCTGCACAAACATTTGAAATCCTCGGCTCTTTACACACCACGAGTCCAGCGATATTCGTGTGGGTGAGTATCACCACTGAAGGGCTTTCACTGAGCTCAAACACTCTGCTTGGACATTCTGACACAACTGGTGCAAAAAGTGGAAACATTCAGATGAAGATTTCTTTTGCCATAAACTCCAACCTATGGGATACATTAAAAATTAAATATGCCATTTTTCCCAAGCCTGATCAAAACTCCCTTGAAGTCTGTGGCAAGAACTCCTCTGGCTTCTCCAAGGCTGAATGTGGGTCAATATCCATGAGTACTGCTTTCATGATGTGGGGAAGAAAAGACCACTGTTCTTCAAACTTCACTGCCTGAACTTGGATTTATATTTTATCTGTCCTTGAGGCTTAGATGCGTTGATTCCAGGAAAAATCTGTGGATATAAAACCCCCACTGTAACTTCCCTCCTCTCACTGCCTAGAGGCACTGACATCAATATTCTCATTCCTCCAGAGATGCACATGATTTTGAAGTCTGTCTTGTGCTCTAAGGTCAGCTTGTGCAGATTGTGTCCTTGTAGGTGCTGCTACAGAGCAAAAGATTCTTGGTGTATTAGTAGTTGATATCCCAACCCATGATTTTTTTTCCATTTCAAACAGAGACCTTGTAAAGAGATACCACATTTTTAAATTTGTAAAAAAAACTAAGAAGAAAATTTTCCTTGGGACTTTTGAATATTTTCCCATAAAAAAAGGTAAAAGCTACCTTTAAAAATTGTATTGTTCGTGTTTGCTCAAATGCAATATAGGAGTTGTTATTATTGGTTTTGACTACAAAAGCATACCAGGACCAGACGCTAAACTTTGGTAATTTTTTCCCCCTTTTATAAAAAAGTTTAATTTAGGGTTTGTCATCTTAAAAAAAAAATCACATCTGCTGCACAATTATAAAAGGCACATATAAATGACTTGAAGAAAAGTCCACTTTCCAATTTTAAACTGATTAAATTAAAAACCCCCCAACATTCTGGAGTATTTTCCACAAAAAAAAGAAAAAAGAAAAAAGAACAAAAATTACATATAACCAAACGAGACACACAAGTGGCTAAAAAGGCCATTTTTTTCCCTGGAGTTTTCAGTACTATTTCTCCATCATTATGGCTGTGTAGGAATGGAATTTCTCCATCATTATGGCTGTTTAGAATACTAAATAATACATGATAAGAGATGTTTCGATTCATATTTTCTAGACCCTATCAATGCAAGATGAAGCAATGGTTGAAATATTTACTACTCCAGGCAACTTCATCATGTTTTTCCTTAATGCAGCATGAAAATGGAAGTAACAGAGAACACAGAAGAGATGGTTCAAAAAATAGATTAACAGCAGAAGTGAATTAATTTCTTTGAGGTAATCCTTACTATGATGTTCACAGTTGCCTTAGTGGGTCTCAAGTCCCAGAAGTCATTTTCACTCTTCTTCAAGGATCTCCTGCCTTGCTCGAGGAGAGAATGGACACACAGATAGCAGTTCCTGTGCCCAGGTTTCCTCTAATTGCAACAGGCAGATCTTTCGTCAGTAATTCAAGAATCAAGCTGTAGAGCCTAAGTAGAAATTAATTTATTCCCAGAACTGATTGCTGGCTCCCAGCTCTCTGCAGATAGGAAATCATGTGCAGCTTGGAAGCCGGCCCTCAGCCTTGCTCCCTGCAGTGTGAGATGCCCCAAATCCACCGCAGATCCACTCATTCAAACCCGCCTGGTGCCCAGAACATCTTCACTGAGCTTTGTTCTGCTGCATGCTGGAAATTGCAGCCCCCACTTGTCTCCGTGGCCAGGGTCATCTGCCCTTGAAAAATTTTATTTTTTCGATGGAGGCAAGAGTCAAAGTTATATTGAACTCAAAATCCCCGTCGTGGACGCCTGTCTTCCGGAAAGCCCCACCTGAGGTGTTGTTTTCCCAGTAGTGATGCCAATGTCCTTTGCTGTCTGCTCCAAAGCCATACACATTCACCTAGGAGGCAAGGGAGAGCTACTGTTACAGACTGGAAAGCAATTGCTCTTCATCTGAAATGCTGAAAAATCCCTTTATTCTCAGTGTATTTATAGGCAGCAGCAGCACCTGAGCTCCTCAGTGGTGTCCCAAACTCTTCTGCTGCATGACAACCATGGGAACAGCCCAAGGGATGTGACAGCCTAAGCTATGCTGAGACACCACCAGAGCTGAACTCAGAAGGAAAAGGAGATTTCTATCCATTAATTCTGGTTTAGCAATATGAAAATGCAGTCTTATCCCTTAATCATGACTGACCTCAGGAGATCAGTGGTTTGGGATGGAATCTTCTCTTTAGCTGATTTAGGCCACAAAGAGTGAAAAAAGATTAGTTTGGTCCTGCTCTTCCAAATAATGGCCTGTGTTGACCACACTTACATCCTTGATTAAATGATATTTGCAACTACTTCAGAGACCATGGATTTTATGTTCTTTTCATTATATCTCCACCTACAGCCTCTCCTCTCCCAAAGTCTCGTTTATCGACGGCTGTGCCTGTCTCCTCTGATGATAAAAAGTCCAAACATCACAGCAGATTTATTTAAACTGAGTTTGCTGATATGTGTGGCTGGATTTGAATGGGTCATAGCCACAAAACAAGCTCCCTGAACCACCCACACCCAGGCCCACTCAAATATGAGTTGGTTTTAAGTTGATTTTGGTAATGTTGGAGCCCTGTTCACTTCCTGCTTACCAGAAAAAAAGGCTCCACCCAATCTGGCTATGAGGAGAGTTTCTTCCAATACCTTTAGGAGTATTTCCACTGCCTCCCCAAGCAACAGAGGCTTGGGTAACCAAAGTTCTTTGATCAGCAGATCTGTGTCCAGGACAGGGATTTTGCCAGCAGAGTGATTTTCACCCCCCATGCTGATAAACCCATGCTCGCAGGATTTTGTAGAGCTGACTTGGCCTTACTCTAAACTATCTGAGTCTCCAGTCACGTTGGAGCACCTCTCATCACTCAAACCAGGGAATTTCCCCAAGGAACTACTGGAGCAGAGGCATTCACTATAACCTGCTGCATGAACCCACAAGCCCGAGTTTGAAAATACAGTGAGACGAAATAGAATTGAAACTTTCACCAGCAAGATGGGTACAGGCACCATCCATGTTTAGATGCCTTTTGATACCAGTTGGAATTTCTGTTTATGTTTAATTACATTCTCCTGGAGTGCATTGTAAACCCCATGACTTGCGGACATTAAAAAAAAAAATCCATCACTGTCAATTAAGCATGTCTGCATGTCACTGAGGAGTCTGCAGAGGTCTGAAGAAAGGTGGAGAGGGGAAACAAAGGCTGAGTGAGTGTCCAGGGATTGTTCCTGGCTCTTCAGTGTGAAATGCCCTGATTTTTTATCCATACATCCAAACACACACAGACTTTACCTCATCGCATACATGGAGAGCAAACATCAAGGACAGAAGGCCTGTGGAGGGGTATCTCCCATGATGCTCAAGCCAGTTTTCATAGATGTATTTCATAAAAGCTGGATTATAAACCAGGATCTAGGCAAAATTAAAGAGAAAGAATCATTAGTAAAATACCCTTTGAAAAAAAACAATGGTAGCATATCATTCCTAAAGGACACTGGGCCAGGGGAGTGGTAAGAAAGGAATAATAGTTGTTCCTTGAGGGCAGGTGAAAGGGAAAAATAAGTTACATATTAAGTGCATTCCGTTAATTTGAGTCTTCTGAAAGCAATGGGTATGAAATGGCACAAGTGAGATGGAAATTAGGCAGTAAGCATTCAACTCTCCCTGAATCACCCTGCAGGTGAGCTCTAGGGAGTTGGACTCCTGAACAAGGCAAGCATGAGATGCCATGACATGCTTCACAGAATAATAGATTAATTTAGGTTGGAAAGGAGCCCTAAGATGGTCAGTCCAACTGTAATTTGAGTGGGAACACCAAGGCATGTCTTGGTATCTCTGCAGGCACAGATCTGAGGAAATCAAGGGTCAAATGTAAACCATAAGGAAGCCTTGCAGCTCGTGTAAGCTTCTTTTCTCCCATTTCCCAAACATGCCATCTTTCTGAGCTGTACACTTCTTTCTTACAAGGCATAAAATGTATTTGTTTATCTCACAGGGGTCATCTCACAGGGACAGAGCACTTAAGATAAGATCTGAGAGTCCAGTAAATCCAAGGATGGTGGGAGCCCTTGGTTTCAACCCCGTTCCCTGAATGAGGCAAACGGAGGCTTTTCCCTCCCTGCTGAGTCTGTAATTAGAGTGACAGCATTTCAGTGCTATCTGCTTAGCTGCAAGGCTTTTCCTTTTACAGAGTCAGAGGTTAATTGCTGATATTGCATCTGGGTGTAATCTCTTCTTGCAGGGTGGGAAGAAACTCAGCTCAGGAAGCTGCTGCATATCACCATACCCAGGGCTGTGATGAGAGTTTAGCAATCTGCCCTGCTGCTTCTCTCAGGGGTTTTGCAGAGGTTAGCACCCACCTCTCAACAGGTAAAGGATTATTCAATGCACCCTAGAGGCCCATGGCTTGAAGCAAAGGAAAATGAAGTGATCCTAGTTCAAGGTCTCACCTGAAGCCTTTGGCAGAGCTTGGCCTCTGGAATGAAGGGTGTGTGCTTTAATTTGTAATTTTAATGTTCTGGAGCTCATGCCAGACTTTAACAGCCCCTGACACTGGTGTTGTGCCTTTGAACATCAGTCTCTTCAAAGAGTGATAGAATGAGACTTTTATTTTTCTGGGAGCTCTGTGGAAGACGTTCTTCCTCTCCCACACAGCCTGCCTTGGTTATATCATCAAACCCCACAGCTACAACAACAGAATTCCTTACAGAGTGGCCAAAGTTCCAACACGGGAATGAACATCCTGCCCCATGGGAAATCCTGCCTCCAGCCTGTCCCTGTGCAAAACTGGGAATGCTGGGTTCCAAATGGGAATGAACATCCTGCCCCATGGGAAAACCTGCCTCCAGTCTGTCCCTGTGCAAAACTGGGAATGTTGGGTTCCAAATGGGAATGAACATCCTGCCCCATGGGAAATCCTGCCTCCAGCCTGTCCCTGTGCAAAACTGGAATGTTGGGTTCCAAATGGGAATGAACATCCTGCCCCATGGGAAAAACCTGCCTCCAGCCTGTCCCTGTGCAAAACTGGAATGTTCCCTGGTCAGTGCTCTCATGCAAAATGTGGTTGAACATCGCCTGGGAGACCTGTAATACACCTGGAGCAAAACCTTCCTGGACTGGCCTGATCTCAGCCTCCAAGTTGTTTAATTGGGTACAGGTAATTACTGTAGCTGTGGGCTAAGAGCTACCACCAGGAACTCTCCACTGACTTGGAAACACACAGCTTTATTTGTTCAGAGTTCACTTAGCTCCTTATTACAAGCAACTGACCTGGGAGTGAGAAATATCCTTGCTGCTCAGATATTAATATTGTTTTTAAAAAAACCCAAAGTCTCTCCTCGGTTTCATTACATACAAATGGCTGCAATGGGTGGGAACAGAGCAATTGCTGTGGAGGACAACGCTGCACTTTTAATGTCCCTGAGCAGCACCAGAGGAAGTGATGCAACCTGCAGAACAGTGTTCATGCAACAGCATAGCCACAAGAGCAATTTCTTCCCAACCACAGTTATTTAGTGGTTGATCTATGGCCTAAATGGCACACAGGAGCCAAATCTTTAGCTGAGCCTTGTAAAGTGGCTGTATTTTGGTTTCAACTCTTTATGAATATCAAGGGCTTGCTTGGATTCTTGTAGTCTCCCAAAGAAGCAAAAGACCCCAAAAAAAATTAGCAAAACAAATCCACAGACCAACATTGCTCACCTTTTCTTTTTTGACTTTGATTTTCCGTGGAACTGGAACATATGTACTGTTAAAGGAAAAAGAAAGAGAGCACCAGCATAAATAAAGGCCCAATTTATTAGCATTTTCATGTAATTCCAAAAAAAGAATATTCTTCACATACAGTAATAAATTCAAATTATTTGAAAGCAGTAAATTCATGAAGTTGTTGTAAAATCAGGCTGCAATTAAGTAACACAGCAGGAAAAGAACTGAGCTGTCACTGCAGCAATTTTATGGGAAACCATTACGTTCTTAAACTTTCAAGTTAATTATTGACAGTAGGATACCAAAGATTTAGTTGAGAATTATCTGTAGAGTCAATACTATGTGGAGCTCGAGACTTCTAATTCGTGGATCATTACTGTTGGCACTCTTTGCACCTTGGAGATGGGAAAGACTTTTTATTTAATTTCTTGGCAGAAAAACCTTCTCCCACCAGGGGGAGACTTTTGCTCTCCTAACACTCGGAGTTCCCGCATGATTTCCAGAGTCGGTGGCAGCAGAGTTCCCCAGTCCTGGGGTTGTATGAAACTCATTCATTCCCAGTACACAACCCCTCACCAGAAAGCTATCTCCCTCCTCCCAAAGGCTTCCTGCAATTCCCAGCATAAAATTTCC